GAATACCGATGGGTTTGTGAAAAAGGTATGTACACACACACACACACACACACACACACACGCAAACACACAACAAATAGACCATAAACCATAAACATACTTTCAGATACAAATACACCTCAGTAATAAACTATAACTTTACTTTGCACACACCAAACAACTATTGTATTAACATACGTGCACATACACGTCACAGATATACTATAAACTTTACAAACACTACACAAATATACTTTTAACAGATTTACACAAACACTTCACAAATATACGATAAACGTACTAGCCAACACATACCCGAAACAAAGACACACACACAAAAACACATGTAGATACACATACAAACATAGGCGTACAAATATGTGTGTATATAGGTTTGTGCACATGGTAACTGACCATACACTTGCACTCACCTTTCCGGTCACAGTTGCGACAGTTCATTTCCTCCAGTTGGTCAGACTTCACACATATTTACAACTCGTTGCCCTGTAGACAAATTAGCCCAGTCTCGTGGGCAATGAATGCCAAATTGATATTAACACGTTGGTCTTCTGGCGCGATGTTTGGCTGGCCGAGTTTCTTTGTTTGCTTTTCAAGAATAATCATAGGTGGCAATTTTTTTTCTCAGGTTGTAGCTCCGTTGTAAATATGGTATATGTATACTGTAGAGATTATATGGACTGCCGGTTGTACTGCAAGTGTATGTGTGTATATTTATGTGTGTGCGTGTATATATATATATATATATATATATATATATATATATATATATATATATATATATATATATGTGTGTGTGTGTGTGTATGTGTGTGTGTATGTATATTTATATATTATGTGTGTGTATATGTTATATACATATATATGTACATAGAATACCTAAAATATCTATTTATTGAGACTGAGTGCCCAATTTGTGACCATTTGAAGATCTATCTATCTATCTATATCTATCTATCTATCTATCTATCTATCTATCTATCTATCTATCTATCTATCTATCTATCTATCTATCTATCTATCTATCTATCTATCTATCTATCTATCTATCTATCTATCTATCTATCTATCTATCTATCTATCTATCTATCTATCTATCTATCTATCTATCTATCTATCTATCTATCTATCTATCTATCTATCTATCTATCTATCTGTCTGTCTGTCTGTCTGTCTGTCTGTCTGTCTGTCTGTCTGTCTGTCTGTCTGTCTGTCTGTCTGTCTGTCTGTCTGTCTGCCTGCCTGCCTGCCTGCCTGCCTGCCTGCCTGCCTGCCTGCCTGCCTGCCTGCCTGCCTGCCTGCCTGGCCGGTCGGTCGGTCGGTCGGTCGGTCGTTCCGTCCGTCTGTCCGTCCGTAGATAAATTGCAACTACCGTATGAAAAAAGAATGCTATGAAGGGACACATGAAAGACCTGGCAGCGTGCCCAGTTTGTAATTCTTCGAAAATAAAGTTCGTTCGTTCGTGAATTTTGACTCAGGCTGACTGTCTGTCCGTCTGTCTGTCTATTTATTGATCGATTCATCCATCCATGCCTCCACCCGTCCGTCCTTCCATCTGTCTGTCTATCTGTCTACCCACCAACCTGTCCATCCGTCTGTTTGTCTATTTGTCTGTATATATATATATATATATATATATATATATATATATATATATATATATTTATATATATGCTTAAATTTATTTTGAACTATCTGTGTGTCTGTCTGACCATTCGTCTGTTTGTTTGTAGGTTTGACGGTCTGTCTCACTGTCTACAGTCAAACCCGTCTTTCCGAAGCAGTTGTATGTCTGTCTATAGGGCTGTCTTTCTGCCAAGAAAATTATATACTTATCATCTTTCGATAGCAGTATTGACTAAGACGCCAACAGCCAGTTTATGTCTTAAAAGTTTTCCCCCCATCAGCATATTTACTTCTGTCGAAGATTTACACAACATTCACACGGACTTTTTCAACGTTTATCTGAAAACTAAACAGTTGTGAATAAAGCGTTTCTTGCATCACAAAGAAAGTGAGAGAGATGGCGGGATTAAACAGCTCTCATTTTAATTGGAATACGTTTTCCCTGGCGAAATATGGTCAACCAACAGAGAGTCAGTGTAAAATAGAACAAATGTTTTCAACAATGGGTTAACTTCTCTGATCAGTGTAAAAAATGTGAAAGTCGGCCCAAGTAACCCACCAATCCTCATAGAAAAAAAAGCTTGTTGCATAACCTTTCTTTACAAGACGTTGATTTTACTAGGACATTTCACGCTAAATACTTCGCTATTGTCAATGAATCATCAACGCTCCAATACCTCTGCGATATCAACGCAAAGTGATCTGTTGTCAAATCGCCTGTAGTTTAATGAAACCTGGTATTTCGTAGTTATAAACCGTGTTTGTAACCCCTAAGCCACAAACCTCTACGTAGATTATTCTTCACAAACAATATCCGTTGTTGTCTATATAATCTGTCGTCTCATTACGCAATTTTTCGTTATTTTAAAGTCCCACCTCAGCTAAAGTCGGACGCACTAATATAACCTTACAGTGGAACAGGGTTTCTGTAACCGATACCCGAGTAATCCTCATCCTCATGTTGTCACTTTGTGTCACATGGTGTTTATCGCTTGGTGGATGTCCTTGTGGCGTTGAATCTCACTCACTCACTCATTCATTCACTCACTTACTCACTCACTCGCTCACTCACTCACTCACTCACTCGATGTTGTTACCCTCCACCGTAACGGTCAGTAAAAAAAAAAAAAAAACATATTCTATCAAAATTGTATGGCCTAGTTCCTTTTGATCCTTATTGTTATTATACAAATCATGCTCTATTAAAACCTACCTTCTCATTATGAAAACGTTGAAAGAAATTATTTGCTGGGTTCTAAAAGGGCAAAATGAAAAATTTGCAATACAAAGGGACGACGACAGATTGGCTGCTTCTGCAATATTACTGGATGCTGATAGGATACAATTAAAGCCATATATGGTCAAGATCTTTTGGAAGTACGTCAACAACGTGTGGGAGCATTTTAAATATCACCTCAGTTTCACTTGAACCAGCTGCAAAAAAAAAAAAAAAAAACAGCCGCACTGAAGTAGTATAATGAACACTGTCCAAAAGAACGACCACGCCAAATGAAACGACGACATCAAGAAAGAACTTTAAGAAATGAAGACCCACTTATACAACGCATTAGAAAGATCTTACAGACAATCCTTCATCTCAAGTTGATGGAGAGACGAAAAAGAGACCACTATGTCCAGAATACTTCGTAGCAATGGTTCTGTTTTGAATATTAGTATTTCTGTTTTCTCCGGCCCGGCCCACATTGTAAAGACTGTGTTTTTCTTGGCTGTACAGTCTTATTATATCTTCTGGTCCATTAGGTTGATGAAATATTCCAGCCGTCTGGTTCCATTAGCTGGTCAAATATTGTCGCTTCCGGTCAGACTAGAAGGTGGGGGCTTTTAGGGCGTTAAGTCGGTAGTGAAGTCATGTGTGCTCTAGTCGAAGTGCTTGAGTAAACATGTTGGTTTTTATATAATTGTTTTTAATATTTTTTTTTTTAATTTTATTTAATCCTTTTAAGTACATGACAAATGTCAGTTTTACTCATTTCACCGTGAAATGTTACTTTATTTTGCCAATGCTTGAAATTGAAAGGGCCAAAATACAACTCCAATAAGACGAGAGTTGCTCTAACAGTTGAACAAAGGTTTCTTCTTCTTCTTCTTCTTCTTCTTTTCTTCGTCTTCTTCTTCATCTTCTTCTTCTTCTTTTTTTTTCTTCTTCCTCTTTTTCTTCTTTTTCTTCTTCTTCTTCTTCTTCTTCTTCTTCTTCTTCTTCTTCTTCTTCTTCTTCTTTTTCTTCTTCTTCTTCTTCTTCTTCTTCTTCTTCTTCTTCTTCTTCTTCTTCTTCTTCTTCTTCTTCTTCTTCTTCTTCTTCTTCTTCTTCTTCTTTTTCTTCTTCTTCCTCTTCTTCTTCTTCTTCTTCTTCTTCTTCTTCTTCTTCTTCTTCTTCTTCTTCTTCTTCTTCTTCTTCTTCTTCTTCTTCTTCTTCTTCTTCTTCTTCTTCTTCTTCTTCATCATCATCATCTTCTTCTTCTTCTTCTTCTTCTTCTTCTTCCTCTTCCTCTTCTTCTTCTTCTTCTTCTTCTTCTTCTTCTTCTTCTTCTTCTTCTTCTTCTTCTTCTTCTTCTTCTTCTTCTTCTTCTTTTTCTTCTTCTTCCTCTTCTTCTTCTTCTTTTCTTCTTCTTTTTCTTTCTTCTTCTTCTTCTTCTTCTTCTTCTTCTTTTCTTCTTCTCTTCTTCTTCTTCTTCTTCTTCTTCTTCTTCTTTCTTCTTCTTCTTCTTCTTCTTCTTCTTCTTCTTCTTCTTCTTCTTCTTCTTCTTCTTCTTCTTCTTCTTCTTCTTCTTCTTCTTCTTCTTCTATTTCTTCTTCTTCCTCTTCTTCTTCTTTTTCTTCTTTTTCTTCTTCTTCTTCTTCTTCTTCTTCTTCTTCTTCTTCTTCTTCTTCTTCTTCTTCTTCTTCTTCTTCTTCTTCTTCTTCTTCTTCTTCTTCTTCTTCTTCTTCTTGTCCTTTAAACTAAACGCACCGAACATTAACATCTGACAACTAATGCACTGAGCATATACACATGGGAAGAGTACACAGTATATACAAATAGAAACTTACGTATTGAGTATATATGAATAGAAACTAACGCATTGACTGTATACATATAGAAATAAACGCACTGAGCATACATGATAATTAAACAAATAGAACATAATCCGGTGAATATATACGCCTAGAAATTAGTGCATTGAGCATAAACAACAAGAAAATAACGTATTGAGCATATCTAACTAGAAACTAATACATTGAGCATATACAACTAGAAACTAACGCACTGAGCATATACATATAGAAACTAACATATTACTCACATACGTCTAGAAAATAATGCACTAATCCTGCAGACGAAGTGATCTGACGTCTTCCATCTTTGTTCTCTGTTTCAGGCTTGACAGCGTGTTGGGGAGTTTTGCGACATATGCTCGTCTCAAGGGCCGTTATGATGATGACTGGATCGATCGACTGAACCACCTCTACACTACCATCATACTCATCATCTTTACAATCGTTGTTAGTACTAAACAGTACGTTGGGGAGCCTATACACTGCTGGTGTCCGGCCCAATTTGAGGAGAGCCACGTAAGTACTTCTTGAGTTGTGAGTTATTTGTTTTTTTATCAGTTACTAGTAATTTTGTTTAAACAGTCAGTAATGATTAATTTAACGTTAGAGTTTTTATTTTGTTTATTTTTTTAAATTTTATTTTAGTTAGTTGTGAGTTATTTACCAGCTAGATATGAGTTATTTGCGATGCCTAAGTAGAATACTTGGCATTAAGTGGCAGGACAAAATAAAAAACACTGAGGTACTGGAAGATGCTGAGTCTACAAAGGCTCGGGTGGCTGGGTCACACCTGGAGAATTGATGATGGCAGAGTCAATAAGGACATCCTTTATGGTGAATTAAAGACAGGAAGAAGATGTCGAGGCCGACCTCTACTACGATATAAAGATGTGTGCAAGCGTGACATGAATGATACAGGTATTCACGTGGACTCATGGGAATAAACTGCTATGGACCGTGTTGTGTGGAAAGGGCATATCAGGAAGGGAATGAGAATGAAGGAAGAAATGATTGCAGAAAGGATGAGAGCTGAGGGTCTGAAAAGAAACGGATTAAACACAAATGTTGACAACAATGGTCCTGAAATCCCATGCTATCATTGTGGAAGACTTTTCTTGACACGGGCGGGTCTTGCTAGTCACACTCGCCATCGCCATGGGCTGTGAGTCCTATGCCTCCTCATAGCGCAATATAACACTATCGTCTGGAAAGACGGAAAGGTGCCAGTGATGATGAGTTATTCACCCTTTGTACATGAGTTTTATTTAAATTAATTTTGAATGTGATCTAATTATGAGTTATAATCTAGTTATTAATTATAATTTAATTCTGAGTTATGATCTATTTAACAGTTATGATCTAGCTTTCAAGCTATGGTGATGACATGATCTAGTTATAAACTAGCTATAAAATATTTAGAAGTTATGAGTTTGTTATGCGTAATAAGTTAATCATGATTTATAATTTAGTTACGAGCTTTTATGGGTTATCAATTTAAGACTTTTATGATGCAGCCATCATTAGGTATGTTGCGATCATGACTTACGTGACTGTTTTTGTTTACTTCCTTCACCTCTAGGTTGACTACACCAATAATGTGTGCTGGGTTTCCAACACCCACTATGTCCCATTCGACGCCCATGTACCTAGGGCTCCTGAACGACCCCTGAACGCTGAAGTAGAGTACTACCAATGGGTACCTATGATTCTATTGTTTCAGGCGCTTCTTTTCAAGGTAACTTTTATGTTTTTGTTATTATAAGGCATTTTTTTAAAGCTATGTTTTGTATTGTTCGTTTATTTGTCTAGTACATTTGTTATCTTCCTTCAGTAAGTCATAGTAGTAAGAGGTATATGACTATCAAAGCAAATTTGACCTTAACAAATTTTGACAACATATTTAGTTAGTTAGTTAGTTAGTTGGGTTATCCTCATTGCACTCCAGACATGTCCATAGGTGCTCAGATCATCCCCTCTGTATGAACCCCAACGTCCGATGGCTAATAGTACCAGTTCTATGTTGATTAACAAGTCTTCTGGCGTGTCTGGTGTGCGTCTCGTTTTTTTGCTGTGCCGATCTTAATTCCCAAGTCTGTCATCCTGGCGAGTGATGTGGATTCACTGCCACCAAAGTCCTCTATCCTTCCCATTTCTCTGAGGGCATTGATAATATCAGCATGATCCATAGGCTGACCGTCGGTAGTGATAGCGGATCCAGCCAACCTGCCAGCTCTTTCATTTCCATCGACGCCTGCGTGTCCCGGAAGAAAAATAAAGGTGACTCCACGCACAGAGAACTTCTGTAATGATTCAAGCCATTGTCTTCGCACTGAACCTGCCTGAACCCTCCGGATCATACTCATTGAATCACTGAGTATACATACACGGGTGTATTTTTGTGTTTCAAGCCAGGCAAACGCTTGCGTCACTGCCATCACCTCCATCGCCATGCTGCTGGTTGTCATCGAGAAGGCGCCGTTGGCTTTCTTTGACTGTTCTGCCCGCTGAGCGTGCTGTAAATGCCCATGCGCTTCTTTTTTGGCGTATAACGGATCCGTCTGTATAGATACAACATATATTAGTTGCATACCCTCTACAAAATCAGCAAGTGAGAAGTGTGGTCTGGAGATCATAATACAGTGAAGTGTAACCAGGGGATTTGATTGATACTCAACACTCAGAGGAAAGGCAAAATGGACGTACAATAACACTGCTATTGGTATCATCTGAATTGAAACTATGCTGCAGATGGGGTTAAAGTGCTTGTGGGAATACCCCAAGTGTTGTGGTGTCGGTTCCTAATTTAGTCAACTCAGTTCAGCTACAAGATGTTGCAATGCAACCCCTAGCAATTTTGGCCTGTAGTGTGGTTTTACTAGGCAACTTTACGTTCAATTGTTTGTCATTATTTTCTGAACATTTTGATACTCATAACTTTGTCAGAATCAACACAGAGAAATAGTGACTCACTCGAACCTTGATAGTCTAGCATTGTGAAACCGTTTCAACATCTTAACCACTGTCGTGCTTCTTTCATTAATAAGAGAGAAATCATAAAAGACGTAACCGCTCTTGAAGTAGCAAAAACCGATCAATTTAAAAAACAAAAAATACCAAGCAGAGAACAGAAGACTAGCACTGAATCATCTTATAGATGTGATTGCAGAACAATATGGTGCTCTATAAATGTTGACAATCCTTTCAGCGCATCCGTGCGGTAGCTTGAATTTGACCAACACGTATTTCAGCTTATGAATTTTATAGTATGTACCTAACAGAAGACACAAATGTAAGCCTGACAATGAATTGTGCAACCATTGTGTTTCCTGATGTCTTTTTTATAAAAAATTTTAGTGTAGTCTTTTTTATAAAAAATTTTAGTGTATTTTATATGTATATAAAGTCTATAGTATATCAGCAAACAGCCTAAGGTGGACACAAATCTGAGACCATAAATCTTTCATGTTTCAACATAGAAAATGTAACTGATTTAAAAAAAAAATGAAATTCTGAACTTAAATATGACAGGAACAATATTAGAGTATCGTAGAAAGAAACAAAAAAAGGGGGGTGGGGGGGGGGGGAATAGTGGTATTCTTTTAACTCTGAATAACATGGGGAATTGGCTCAAAGACAATAATAGACTGAAACAGTTTTGCTGTATGAAACATAATGGTTTGCAGAAAACAGTAATAGAATATATGGTTGTTTGAAGACGAGGCAGAGGTCAGTCAGCAAGACAGCAAGCACAGAACATCAGATAAACGCTGGACATGAAAGTTCACAAGGTAGATCGAATGGACTTCTGGCATGTTGTTATAAGAGTGAAATTCTACCACTGGTCTGTTACATGATGATTTTATCAGCTGAAGCTATACAGTCTAGTCACATTCATCATTAAGTGCCTTGCCGACTGACATGGGTAATCATTTTTCTCCACAATTTTAGAATTTCAACAGCATGTTTCAGTTCGTATGCTGACGCCCTTCCATACAATTACAAATGGCTGTCATGAATCTGTGCAGATAGTCTTCATCTGTCTAGTTTTCCATGAATCTTTCAAGTAGTCACAGTATGTTCCAGTTTCTTTCTTTTCATATCATGACCAGGAAGTGATACCTGTCTTTTTCTGATGACCGTGTTGTCTTCAAGCCCTCGCCTCTTTTAAAATATATGGGTTGGTCTTTTTGGTTCTCCGAGGAATTTTAAAGATTTTTCTGAAAAACTCCATCTCTGAGACTTCAAGAAATTGTTTGGCTTGTTTATTGATTGTCTTCGATTTACAGCCATGTGTTAAAACTGGCTCTATATAGCTTGCAAGAGTTCTTTTTCTAGCCTCTAATCACATGGATTTATTGCATAAATATATTCTTCATTACATAATAGTCACATTACATAACTTTAAAGCTATAGAACTCTACAATTTATGTCCATTCTCACAGGTACCTTGCATCCTATGGCGCATCTTGACAGCCTCTGCCGGTGTCAACCTGGACAAGATCGTCACGCTTGCTGCAGAAACAGCTTACGTGGCCCCCGACGACAGAGATCGAACAATAAAGCACATTGTTCGCTACATGGACAGATGGATAGAGAACGCACGAGAGTACCGCTCCGGTTGCTTTATCCGGTTACGCCAACAGGTATCCAAATACTGCTGTATCGTATGGGGGAAACGGTACGGCAACTACCTCGTAACTCTGTATATGTTTATCAAGCTACTGTACCTATCAAATGCTATAGGGCAGCTCTTTATACTAAACGAATTCCTTGGCACAAAATTTAATGTTTATGGGTTTGAGATTATGGATCATTTAGCCCGGCGAGAAAGCTGGTCTGAGAGTCCTAGGTTCCCAAGAATTACCCACTGCTTCTTTAAGATCCGTCAGATGACAAATGTGCATGATTACACTGTCCAATGCGTTTTGCCCATCAATCTATTTAACGAAAAGATTTTCATCTTCATCTGGTTTTGGCTGGTCTTCGTCGCCGCCCTCAGCAGTTTCAACTTTCTCATCTGGATTTACACAATGATCTTTAGGCAGCATCGCCTTCGCTACCTCAAGAAATTCCTTCGAATCAACGACTGTTATAAGTCTGAGCTTGACAAGAAAATGGCGGTTAAGTTCTGTGAGCAGTACCTGCGACAAGATGGAATCTTTGTACTTCGGCTAGTTGGTAAAAATGCTAATGATGTACTTGTGTCCGAGCTTATCCTTCAGTTATGGAATCATTACAGAAACAAACCACTTTTTAGGCACGCCAACCAAATCAGTGATGACAACAGCAATGTCTGACTAGCCGTTCGGAAGTGGAAGGCTGTACAAACACTGATGAACTGGCTGGGAATTAAATCAGTCAATCTGCCAACACCAGAAGAAAGCCACAACAACCACAATGGAAACCACAATCATCACGGGAACCACCACCATCATCACCATCGTCATCATCATCATCACCATCATCATCGACCACATAACCACAATCATGAGGATGCGGGCAGTAATTGTTGCAATGAGGGTGTTGAACTGGTCGGGTTTCAGGTACTTCCCCGACAGAATGGATTTGTAGATGCTCACCGCTTGCGCAGTGGCGATTCAAAGTCAGAGGTCAGCACAGATACATCCAAAGTGTCTGATGTCTAACCAATCTTGAGACTAAAGCAGATTGTCTGTCTGATGATTGATTGTATATGAGGACAGGGCAATCGAAGTTATTAACAGCGCTATAAACTAGCAGTCCATAACCGCCCTATTCAAGACTTTGGTGAAAAGCAATCTATCAATAAAAGATCTAGTCGAAGACTAGTACAAATTACAATCAAATCTAGCAATGTCTCTAAGAAGAAATAGAGCACAGTGCAACACACAAAGTTAGAGCTGGCTGTAATGATGCACACATTGTACAGTGCAACATTCAAAGATAGCACTGGCTGTAAGGGTAAATGAAGGATGGTGCAATATCCAAAGAAAGCACTGGTTGTAAGGGTAAATGAAGAATGGTGGAATGCACAGCGATAGCGCTGGCTGAAAGGGTAAATGAAGGATGATGCAATATACAAAGATAGCACTGGCTGTAAGGGTAAATGAAGGATGGTGCAATGCAAAACTATAGCACTGGCTGCAAGGGTAAATGAAAGATGGTGCAATATACAAAGATAGCACTGGCTGTAAGGAGAAACAACAGACTCGAGTGCAATACACACACATATCATTTGCTGTAAGGAGAAACAGAGTAGAGTACACCACACGCAGCTAGCACTGGCTGTAAGGAGAAACAGAGTAGAGTACACCACACGCAGCTAGCACTGGCTGTAAGGAGAAACAGAGTAGAGTACAGCACACGCAGCTAGCACTGGCTGTAAGGAGAAACAGAGTAGAGTACACCACACGCAGCTAGCACTGGCTGTAAGGAGAAACAGAGTAGAGTACACCACACGCAGCTAGCACTGGCTGTAAGGAGAAACAGAGTAGAGTACAGCACACGCAGCTAGCACTGGCTGTAAGGAGAAACAGAGTAGAGTACAGCACACGCAGCTAGCACTGGCTGTAAGGAGAAACAGAGTAGAGTACAGCACACACAGCTAGAACTGGCTGTAAGGAAAAACAGAGTAGAGTACAGCACACACAGCTAGAACTGGCTGTAAGGAAAAACAGAGTAGAGTACAGCACACACAGCTATCACTGGCTGTAAGGAGAAACCCAGGAGAGTGAAAACACTAATGTACCATAGCAAAAGCAGCATATACTTGCATACTTAATTGTTTGCCATGCATTGACGAATAAATAACATCTGTTCATGTGACCGTACTATTAAGTGATCAACAATAGTAGTAACAAGGAACAAGTTCCCAAGCACCTGCTGCCAGTAATGTTAATGGATGGCAGAAATTAAAGAGGGATCTGAAAGAGAACCACAGTGGCCAACATAATGTTCAACAACAGCTAACCTTTATTGTGGAGACCGCACCTAATTGAACCAAAGCAAGTTATTGCATCACCAAGAGGAATCACAGCTTGTTTGTGGAAATAAAATTGTGTATCCTGCCATTCCTTTCAGCAACAGGAACTCCACTCAGTACTAACTATCCAGCAACTGCCACGTAATTGAATCAACTGTCAGTTTTAGAGGTGACAGTCAATGACAATGGATTAAAAAAACAGGATAAAGATTTCATTGCACTTTTTTTTCATTCAGACTTGCTGTTAAACCTAAAGAAATCGCATCACTGGTTTGCCAGTTTAGCATCTCAGATTCTCACAAAGATTCCTTATTTCATAGATAATATGTGGCCAGTTATAAATTTAGCTTTGGCTTTCAACTTTCGCTTCCCCAAGCAATTGCTATTTCTAAATAATGACATTGTGAGCAGAATGAGTCAAGCTCTAGCTGTCAGGAACTCAGTGACTCAAAGTAACAACTAGAAGAGTTGCAGTAGAAGTTACATCTATCTGGGGTTGAAGACATAATGGTGCATATGTAATATTAAGAGGCCGTGTTGGAGAATCTTATCAACTGACAACAAAGAATTGAGTTTTTCTACTGGCTGTGGGGAAACAAATATTTTGCAAAACGCATGATGAGCAACCTATGGTGAGTTTCTGGGTATTAAGAGAGTTAAAGAATGAAAGAGATGAGAAACTACAACAACAACAACAAAACTTCATTTATGGAGGTGGATGTTTCCAGGCATTAGTGGTGAAAGGTATTTGTTATTAATAACTTCTGTTTTTAAACAGTTTATTTCACTTTATGCAGGTTTTATTTCTTCAGCTCTCCTTTATTTAAATGCATAGAATTAGTACACATAATTAAAAAAAAAAAAAAAACTGTTAAAAAGGGAATTAACTCTTGAATTCTACTATACGTGAATGTTCGTAAAAATAAAAACTAAATTTTAAACTTAAAATTATTGACATCTAAAGTTCTACAATTTATGAATTTTCAAATAAATACCAACATTCTTCACTAGGTAGGGGTACAAACCTCACATGCACATATTGCTGCATTAGATTTCAAATTAATACTAACAATTCCTGCAAAGCATGAAAGGAAAACCAATAAAACTGTTAAATTGTTATTCTTCTGCCTTTGACATCAAAGAGGTGGTTGGCAGATTGTGCTGCAGTTTACAACTAGGCTGTGATATCTTCATTTTTCAGTGCAACACATCCATTTTCAGCAAAACATGAATTAGTCCCCATTTAAAACATACTGTTAGTGTATTCTTCTTTTCTCCAAAATGAGGCTCTAGTGAATGAAATCAGACCAGTATGAGACTAAAGTGGGCAAATAGAATATCTAGCAACAACAACAAAAAACAACAGAATCGAAGATGATGAACAAGCTGACATGACCAACATTGAAAAAGATACCTTAAATTGAAATTAATAGGTGATCGTCTTCTTCTTTTTCTTTTATCCCTAATCCCTCAATGAAGCATAAGCCCTCAACCAACTCACACTTAGTTGTCCTAAAGTGTTGTTAACATTAGTAAAAGTTAAAGTTAACATTAATACATTTTAAAATGTAGAAAAAGATATCTGCGATTTACTCCTGTTCAGTTGGCATCTGAAATGACACTTTTTGAGTTGCTTGGGTGTTAAAATTCCCTGTAAATATATATATTTTAGCATCATGTGCCAGTGGCAAGCAAAGGGCCCTGTACTCTGTTTTTCTAATCATGGGTCAGTAGAAAAGTCATGGTTGCCAAAGTTCCAAACTTTACATCAAAAAGATAACTGGTTTTACTCATTTTTTAAATTGATGCATAAAGACATTACATTTAGTGCATCACACTATAAATTTAAGGACAAATCATTAGAAGGTTTAATAAAAAAGCTACAGCTCCTCTAGAGTCAGAAACAATATTTCATTTATGAACAAAATGAAGTAAACTGAACTGTTTTTCATAATTATGATTTTGATACACAATATATGAACTCTCAGTCATTAGCTGGGTGAAATACCACACCTCCTTTAAGTTCAGAAAAAATATTTGATATATTTATATGTGAATAAACTGAAATGTTGATTTTAACTTACCATAAACATTTTCACTCATTCTTGGACATACTCTTTCATCAATATTTGTGTTATATCAGACTGTGCAGTGTTGTGAAAGAACTATCAGGTTCATATAATGCATATGAAGTAGTGTTTTTAAATTTTACTTGTTTCGTTATGAAATAATTTCTTGTTTTTAATGGATAGTTAGGACATATTGTAATTTTTTTTTTTTTAAATTAACGAGAAAAGAAGGCAGCATGATTTTCTCTGTGAATCACAAAAGTTGTGATCATGTTTGTGATGAGTGATTACCATAACAACAACAAAAATGATATAAACAAGCTATAGGAATGAAAGTTGTCACAATGAAATAGTCAATTTAAATAATTGCCGAAATACTGGCAACATTTGGTCAAGTCACAGATTTGGGTGTGCAACCTTTTCAAGATATGTGAGAAAAGAAAAAAAGTCTAAATGTTGGCAAATTATTTTGTTTGATTTTTGTTTTGTTTTTCAAAAAGATGAAATAGGTAAACTAGTATATGTGTCTTCTGAGCTGATATTTGATGTGTACAAATTAGTGAAGATATGTGTACAGACTGTACTAAAAATATGAGCACATGTGTACAAAGTACAATATTCAATCAGATGTGTACAGAATAATACTTTAAAATGAATGTAATTTGATTTTCAATATCAAAAATTTTATTTAGGTCACCGTAGTCAAAGCATTCTTGACTCTATGAGTCCCAAGGAATGCATCATACATTCATAGGTTATTGCCTAGAAGCCCAATGAACGCATGATGCTAAACCCTCTGGGACTCAAAGAGTTAAATTTCACTGTAATATCTGCTGTCAAAATCATCATGCTCATTGTAGTGTGACGCAATGAAACCTGAGGAGAATTACACAATTTATGTTAAATTATTGCTTCTTTTATATACACTAATGTTATCTGTTAGCAACAAACATTATTCTAGTCAGGTGACACACGTACTTTTATTCATAGTAAATTATTTCCCATGCCTGGGACCCAATGTTTGTGATTATACTTGTGTTATTTATACTGTATTAGTTTCTCATGTTTCATTTGATCTGATTACATTTATGCTAACCCCTATCATTGTCAGTTATCTACCCAAATGCTTGAGTAATATAATGCCCTCGGAGACACTGTATGAAAACCTGTCCATATAATATAAACATTAGTGTGTGCTTTTTATGTCATAAGAAAATATTTGAAAGACTGCATTTCTTGTACAATGTTTTCAAATGTAGTATCCATG